TTACTCCGACATTTCGGAACCGAGTTTTTTTGATTTTTGCTAAATAAGAAAAAAGACGTACCGACCGAATTAAGAACCTCCTCCTTTTTGAAGATGGTTCAAAAGTAGTTGTTTGTATTAAAATAATTTCAATTGTTGTGACATATTATCAACAGTTATGAATTCTTATAAATTCGTCCCAAGTGTTTAAAACAAAAGACTTAAAACTATAGTCTACACTGAAGCGAAGCTGGGGCGGGCCACTAGTTCATTATATTTTGCTACTTTTTCTTACGGCCGAGTGTGAAAGTATAGATAACAAGCACAATGTATATACGGTGGACGCCAAAGATAATAGCATTATAGTCCATCCACTGTAATAGCCAAGTGTGTGTTGTTAATAGGAACATTTTTTGACCGTTTTGTTGAATATTATGAAAATAAATGGCTTGCCTTCTAATTCCTATTAAAATATTTGCTCTAACCCAACATAAGCCAAACATTTATAAATGGGGTTAAATAGTCAGTATATAAACACAGAGTTTACTCTTCTGCGCAAGTGACCCTAATACTCATAATATAATAAGTATGAGGAGCTCGATATCGCAAGTGGTTAGCGCGTTCGGCTGCGGTCGTTGACGTTAAGCAACTTTCACAGTGGTCGGTCATTGGATGGGTGACCAAAAATTTACTATCTCGAGCTTCTCCGTGCTTTGGAAGGCACGTTAAGCCGTTGGTCCGGCTGCATCTGCCGTCGTTAGCACCCACCAATCCGCACTGGGCCCGCGCGGTGGGTCATGGCCCAATCTCCCTATTCCATCCATAGGGAAGGCTTGTGCCCCAGCAGTGGGGACATTAATAGGCTGATGATGATGATGAATAATTATCATCACATCAATAACATGGATTTAAAGATTGATATAAATTTCATTTTAAGGAAAATTTTACTAGAAAATACTCCACGCGGACCAGTCAGCACCCTTCGCTATCAGGGCGAATGCACTGACCAATATGCTGCCGCGGCCCTGATGGCCGTGTTGATTTTTCTCTAGTGTTTCTTAGGCTACAAGGCAGCGCCATCTCCATCAGTCCATCATCAACATCATCACTATTTCTTCTTTCAAATGTTTAATACTTGTAAATTAGGTATTTATTTGACATTATGGGTTACCTACAATGCGGAGAGATGGCGGTGCCTTGCAGCCTATGAAAAACTAGAGAAAATTCCACACGGCCATCAGGGCCGCGGTGGCATAATGGTCAGTGCATTCTTCCGGATAGCGAAGGATGCGGGTTCGAGTCTCGTCAGCTGCCTGGTCCGCGTGGAATTTTTTCTAGTAAAATTTTCTTTAGACTTTAAGTAGATAGCTAGGTAATAAATGATCTTTCGTTGACATACGAACAGTTTTTATATTTATACCTACAGAAGATTATGATGGCATGGTTGATGAGATGAATGACATTTCAGGCCTAATTATATCAGTAGGGTAACATAAATTTGTCGGAGGTGAGTAATCACATTTGCCTGATCCATTACCGCGGCGGAACGTTATTTACTTTATTATAGAACAAATTTCATCGTTAAGACAGCCCGCACAAGTAAAATATGCTTAGGTATCACTTAGCAGCGTTTGCGATGATGTTCTATTTATTTAACCTGACATTGGATCAAAATATGTAGTTCAACCCTAATTAATTGGCTTGTAAGTTGTGAACTTGTGATGTAGTTAGCGATGTGATCTTTTTATTTATTCCAGTAAAGATTTCATATAGCTTAGAAAACTACGTGCTAGCTTTAAAGACTTAGGGACCGTATTATTATAGAAAGATTCTCAGTAATGAATCTAGTCTTGAGCATAGATAGAAAGGGATGTCGCTATTTAGAGCACATAGCGACATCCCTTTCTAACTGTACTCAAATAGAGATTGTAGGAAGGCCAAAAGGGAAGATCTTCCTCCGAGCTGGGTGATGTTAGCTCGGGGGCCGCGGCCCGATTGATGTTGGTCGGGCATCGTATATATGGAGTGTTTCGCTCCGAATTTCTCTTGCGCGATGTAGGTGTCCATACATTGTGAACGCAGCGCCGGTAGCGCCATCTCTTAAGGAGGCGAGTAACTATTTCCTCTATGTTCATTATATGTGGGGCATGTAGATGTCGTCGCCACAGAGAGTTGTCATTCTGTAATACGGGCCTTAGAAGATCACAGTTAAATGACACTACCTTTTGGTGGGGCTCTAGGTGATAATGGTGGACTAGAAAAACATGCACATACAAAAATACATTAATGAATATAATATTTTCAGGCATTATTCTACTGTTTTTGAGCGGTCATATAACCAGAAACTTTAACAAATGAAAAAATATGCAAAATTAAACTGCTGTGTTGCAACAAATGGGGTAACAAGAGCGTGAGGTAAATATCACTCGCACCGTTGCCTACCCTGACTAGGGTTACTATTTAAAAATTTGAAAAGTCCTGACAAAAAGCCGGACATTTCGATGAAAGTCCGGACATTTTAGTCGCAAATTTCAAATATCACCCTCTTAGTTACAGTGATATTTTTAACCTGTTTTTGCAACATTTTTCATCGATGCACCGCTGCTACTTACTGGTCATAGCCTGGTAATATATAGCCTATAACCTTCTTGCACTATCCAATACAAAAAGCATTTTTGAAATCGGAACAGCAGATCAATGTTGCATTCGGTACAACGGGTACTAAACTACACAATGAATTTTTTACTTGGAATGGAAGTTTTATAATTATTATACGCGTGGTAGCAGACGTCCGCATCGCGAGGGGGGTCTCGTTGTTGATCTATAAAGATGTTTTATATTTTGTTTAAAAATTAAGGAGAACTTAATAAAGATTATTTGACTTATTTGGTATAACTTAATAAATAGTTTAACTCATATTCCATCTAATTAAAAAAAAACGGACAAAAGGCGAAAAGTCCGGACATTCCGAAGTATTGTTCCAGGACTCCCGCGGAGTCCTGGAACAATACTCACCGACAGAAACACAACACCACCAAAACGTAGTGTTAATTGGTACGGGCGGATCATCCCCAAGGATCTATTAATTAATACAACGTCGATTGTTGTTAACATTACATTTATAGTGTTCTGAGGAGTTATTCTCTCTTATTCCACCTTCCTCATTCCTTCTGAGGACCTCGCGCGCTGACCTAATTGTGGCCACAATTCCAACGCGTATAAAGAAATGTGGTGACTCATTCCTTTGTCGCACTATCCGTAAATGGAATGCTTTGCCTGCTCACGTGTTCCCTCCATCTTACAACCTGGGGTCCTTTAAAAGAGGCGTGAAGAAGTAACATACAGGCCGGCTAGGTGAGGATGGCTGGTGTGGCAGGTAGAACTGCTGTTCCAGCTATCTCAACGTCTGGACTTAACCGTTACTTAACATCAGGTGAGGTGGACTCATTTGTTGGACCTATCTATAAGAAAACCATTGAACAAGCCGGATCGCTCTAGGATTGTTTGCAGTTATACCTTTGATTATTGAATCAAACTTAATAACATGAAATGTTCGACACTTTGGCAGTCAATTGCTATTAGGTTAATTTCAATGGGAAAGTGTAACGTTTATTGTGACTTTGCTAATACGAAAATACGTCGCACAAACGAGTTTTAATCTGAATAAAGAAAAACCGGCCATGAGCGAGCAGGACTTGGCAACTGAGGGTTCCGTAGAAATTTGTAGTTTTAAATGTTAACTTTTTTAGCTCTTTTGAACACCTCTTAGGAGATGTTGTTTGTTCCATCTTATAGCCATTGTAGCTGTCTTCTGAAAAATGATTCTCGTACAGCCTCCCTTCTTTCTGTGATCAATTCTTGTAATCTTCATATTCTTCCTCTTAGTGCCACCCACCATTTCCCAAAAAATACTCCTTCACTTCTTGACTCAATAATTGTCTCTTCTCCACATCTTGTCATAAAGCATGGCCAATGTTCTGTCGATGCTTTTCCTTACCATGTCTTGATTTTCTTTACCTGAATTCGTCCGCCCAAATTGAAATCCAAAGTCATTTTCTTCAGCGTAATTTTGGTGGAATGGATAAGGAAGCGTTTCTTTTTGACGCTCAAAATACCGATTGGTCGTTGCTTACGAATGCGGCTAATGTTAGGTTATTCAAGAAAAGAGATTCACTTCAGATGTGTGGTCCGTGCACACATTTTTTTTTCACAGCTTCAAAGGACCATGGTATAGGTAGGTAGTATATGATTTTCATTTCGATTTGATACCTCCACGCTTTCCCGAAATAAAGGGTCTTGACTCTTGACAGACAGACAGACAGACGGATAGATAGGACAGACAGACAACAAAGACCCTTAAAAAGTCGCCATCAACGAGGACTGGTTTTCATAAAAAACAGGTTAAGAGGGTTTGAAATATATTAAAATAGAGAGTTTGATACTCTACCGGACCAATCCAGAAAAAAGTTACTTTTATTCTTACTTTTATAACTTTACGTTTTCGGTTTTGGTATAATAATTAATAAATACAGTCAGCATTAAAAAAATACCTATTATAAATAAAAGGGTTTGTTTAATTTAGCAGTACTGTACCCCTAGTACGAACCAATATCGAATTCGTATCGTTTGCGAGTCCGAAATGTCATTGTCAAATGTGTACTGATTTTTAGTTCTCGTTACGTACTTTGTGCCGCTGCTGTTCAAGTTTCCATACAAAATTTGTCATTGACATTTCGGTTTGCAAACTATTCAAATTCGATAATGGTTCGTGCTAGGGGTACTGTATTCTCTGAAACTACTGAAGCGATTTTCCTGAAGAACATGGCTATTTTGTCGCGCCAACCTATTTTGCTTTCGACACGTCATAATAAATCTGTCTAAAACCGGGGGATACTACCCTATAATTTTTTATTATTTTCATTATGTCTTAAAGATTGCAAGTCTTTTTTAAAAGTAAATTCTTTAAATATATAACCTGGTCTATATAGGTTAGTTAGTAAATAATTTTGGTTTTCCTCTAGTGTCATGCCCTGCTCCGCTCAAGAATCGCGACTTCGTGCTGCAGCGCTCGTGGCTGGACACCGGAGATGAGAAGATGATCCTCAACCACTCCGTGTACCATAAAGACTACCCACCCAGGAAAGGGTTTGTCAGGTAACACATAAATATATACTTACCACTTATATTATACTAACTGTCAGGTAAAATCTAATATACATAATTTTCGTGTCACGGTGTGCGTAATTTAACTACTCCGAAACGGCTCGACCGATTTTCGTGAAATATTCAGTAGGTCTGAGAATCGGCACCATCTATTTTTCATCCCCCTAAATGAAATCACATGCATACCATACGAGAGCGACACTATAGTGTATCACATAATTAAACTGTTGTTCCTTGGTTATTCCTAACAAGCATCACAAGTATTTTTATAATCGGTGTCATTAAAAGACAATATAGGTACGGAAATAATATCGACAAAAACCGTAGAGCAACCAAACCAGAACTCGATAAAAGAATAAATGATTATAGGTTATGAGTATATTTCGAAAAATGAAACCCCAAGGGATGAAAGAAGGGGTGAACCTATCTATGGAAAAGCAAAGTCTGGCAATAGCAATTTATTTATAATTGTTTCTACGCTACGAATTTTTGCTGAGGCGGAGCAAGCATAATATAAAACATACTACAGCCTTATTCATGAAGGATTTACTAAGGATATTGGCATCCGCCTACAGTATGGAAGAAAACTAAGTTTTCGGTTGAAAAGGGAAATACAAAAGTAATCGTGTGGCAGTAATTCCCACCCGCTGGAGTTCATATTCGTTCGTTGCCAAGTGCTATTGTAATGGGTCATTGGTCAACTGAGAGAGCTTTTCCATTCAACTGCAACTGCGTAGTTATTTTTTTTAATTCAATAGAATACTTCACACGGCCGCAGCCAATGAAGCGCGGCATAGACAATGCTGTTTTTTTTATTGATCAGAAAGTAGCACAAGCATACGTCAATCGCGACAAAGCCGCTCCACTGTTTTTCTGAAGTGATTTTTCAGTTAACTTTTTTCCGCGATTTGGTTTAGCCTGAAGCTTTTATTATAATATTGAGGTAGCTGACGTCATGGCTGACGTAATATTTTTCTTAGCACACACGAAACACGAATAAAGGAGAAATAACAATACATTTTGGTGGTGTTATGGTTCTGTATTAAGTTTCCATAGGGTTCCACGGGTAGTTTAGGGCCACGGGAGGCAGCACATAGTGAGTTGCACCACAGAGCTATTTAAAGTTAAATTGTGACCATTATTCCTGCACGAACAAAGTAATTTGGTGACTCAATGCTTTGTCGTACTATTCGTAAGTGGAATTCTTTGCCCGCGCACGTGTTCCCTTCTTGCTACAATCTGAGGTCCTTTAACCTCCTGAGTGAAACTGTAGTATGAGTATAATTTTAAAATATAGAAAGAAAAAAATCCTGCACCGCCATCTAACGAAATTTGCTCGATCTTTTAGTTTCATTTCATAGACAAAACATGTATCAGCCATACTGAGCGACAATTGGCTGAGAAAGTGGCTTCCTTTTTATTGTTCATTTCACGCCGATGATGGCTTCGGTACCGGGACCTCGTGATAAGATTGTTTGATTTTTTTATGAAAAACTATGTTGTTGTAAATATTTTAGTAGTTAATTGTTTGCTTTGACACATTTATCGTAATAACACAACGTTATTTATTTTCACTGCACATACAACTAAAATATTAACAATAAAAGCTTTATATTGTACTAGTAATACATTGGTTCTCAACGACTTGTGTGTATACAGAATGGCCAGTGTAGTAACTATTCAACATAAGACATTTTTACTTTCCATTACATTTTTGTAATTGTTTTGTTAGTTTTTCGGGATAATGAAATCAATTTGATTTTTCTTAACATCTTAGAATAAAATTGATAGATTTGTCGGATAAAGAGGAACCAACAGAAGAGATCCATTCAGCGCGAAATCATGATAGCATTGCCTTTTATCCTTGTTCTTCGAATGCTTCGGATACAGAAGATAGAATCCGTACGGAATATGAACATTCTTTGTGTTCTTCTATTGCTGTTACCCACAGTAGTCATGCCAGGACCAGAAGTGGGCGCTGTACGCGTAGTGGTCGATAGAGCCGTGCAAGAACCAGAGGTGGTCGAGGACAAAGCGCAACATTTTTACCATCATCGGCAACTGGTAATAATATATGGGCCGGTAATTTCACTTCTTTAGGGAAACTTTTTTATAAGGCAAGATTTATGGTGCTGAATAAGAATTCATCAAGAGTTTTTTAAACAATATATAATGATCTCCGAGTAATGCTAGGCACCATAACAGGGCACTGCCCACTTAACAAGCATTTACTAACCATACGCGTTACAGATAGCTCTCTATGCAGAGGATGTCTGGAAGCAGATGAAACGGCCGCTCATGTGATCCTGGAATGCACGAGCGTTGCAGAACACCGGGCATCAATCCTCAGGAAGCCGAGGACGCTCCTAGAAGCCTGTGAGAGCCCCAGGAGGCTACTGCGCTTCTGGAAGGAGCTGGGCTGGCTGAGCTAACTAGCCCAACACACCCTGCACGCACAATGGACCAAGTACAGAGTCTACGTGCGGAAACGGGGGCCCACAACAAGTAACAAGTAAACAATATATAACTGACAGCATTCTCGAACAGATGCTTCACTCCATAAATAAAACATATCTTCTGAAAAAAAAGGAGATTGGAGATGATGTTCAAAACATTCATAGGCGTCCTGTCCTGGTCTATTAATTTGCCATCTATAAGTACGTATTGGTCAGATAAAAACGGGATAAATCATAAAATCTGCTATGAGTCGGAGGCGAATTTTTCTCTCAGGTCAGGGAAGGAAGGACAGGAAATCTATTTTTTTATGGAGATTCACATAACAAACTTTTGATAGGCTTTTGATAGATAGGTTTATTTTTTTATAGATAATAAAGCAAATCCAATTATGCTAACTGCGGTTTGTAAAAAACTAATAAGTCTAAAATTAGAAAATAAATGCCTCGTTACTTGATTTCATAGTTGTATTTTACTATGAATTAAATTATTGATGTAGCAAATGTACATAAATAATACCTACATATGGTATGTAGGAACATATGGTATGTAGGAACATATGTAGTTTATTACATAAAAAATATACATTGTAAACATACTGCATTTTACCAACATCAGTTCTGTATAGGTACTACTACTATTTGACTATCGTCAAATGGTGCAACCCATTGTTTACCCAACCACTACTTTAACTGAACAATTACAGACAAAGTTAGTTTGTGCAACTAATAACGCTTACTAGTAAAACTGGTATTACTAGCGTTTATAGGCTATAGTAGCCGCTTACCCCTTTTCAGTAGTGTTAAAAAAAATACATTCATATGACAAAGAATCACTGTGTAAATACTACGTTTTTTTTGGAAAGACAAAGATCAAAAATCAAATTTACTTTTCATGGTTGGAAATCACTCATACGTTTTCATATGAATACAAATTTCTATAAAGAATGTTACAGGGCGTTGCTTGGCCGTGTCGGCCGTGTTGCTCTATGGTCGTTGCTTGTCAAGTGGAATTTGTTTATTCACCTGCTTATTTTCGATGGGAATCTGACAGCTCCACGTAGAACTCATCTACGTTTGATGTTAGCACTTTACATGGCAATTTGTATTTAATATTTGTACAGATCGCGGCACGTAACTCTAGCGCTGAACAAAACGCGGAGTGGATAGGTGCGCACCTATGGGTACGATTGGAGAGCCAATCGGCGCCTCGCACGCCCACCCGCGCACCTCGTTTCCCCCCAAGACATCTTAATTTTTACTTCTGCGCAGTAACGGTCGGCGTTAGAGTTTCGTGCTGAAACCCCAAGCCCGACAGAAAGAAAATATTTCTCAGATTTTTAGTATTAAAAATAAAAAATATTGTATAGGTGGCATCATGAAAATCGAAGGCTTAAATGATTACAGTTGATATTTTTATTCGGCAGGATGGAAAAAAATCCAAACGCGACAGAACCGAAATATATCTAAGATTTTTTGTATTATCAAATCAAAATATACTGTATAGGTGGAATCATCATTAAAATCGATGGCTAAATATCTGAGACTTGTTTCGTTACTGTCTAAATCAGGCGGGCTTGGGTTTTTTTTATGGAAAATTAGAAAATAATATGCTCCTTTCACAGAAATATGTGCTTATTGTTATATTTACACATAAATTTTCACAAAACATACACCGAAATTGTTAATGACATTAGATTGAACAAAAATCAAACAAAAATATGTTTTGTTCATTATGATATCCCTATGAAAGAGATATTATCATGAGCTAAATTAATTATCTACTTAGTATTCTGCAATTTATCATTGTTAACACTTAAATGAATGAAAAGTCTCTTTTTTTTCTTTAATTTAAAGAACACTTAATAATTGACTTTACAAATGAGCTGTTTAAGACTTCACTAATTAATTACTTTTGGCGAGAACACTTTGAGCTTCCTCGGCCGCCGCAATCAATTTAATCAAGGCATTCTTCAGGAGAGCTGCAAATAAGAAGAATTATAATATCGCCGGCGGAATAAAACGTTTTCTATGTCCACCAGTTATACCGTTATTCTGAGACTATCCATTTTTTAATTTTATTCTTTAACTGACGTGAAAGACTTCGATAGAGGCTGAATCCTCGCTGAATCTCAGAATAATGAATAATCGCTTTCATAAAGCAACATGCTATTTCAAATCCTTTAAATCTTTTTTTCGCGATTAGGAGTAATCTTCTCTATCTTTTCCTTTTAGAACTAATGAAATTTTAGTTGCAAAATTCTATAGTAAAATTTACTAGTACTTTCTTCATCTAATTAAGTATTTCTTTTTTAAACTTACAGATTTTTTTCTAGTAAATTTTCCTGGTTAAACTGTTAAATATTTTATTTTACTCCACAGTAGGACACAAAATTCACTTATACTCGTACTTAGAAATGTTAAATTAAAGTCAAACAAAATGTATAAAAATGTTATTGGTAAAACTATTTTAATATTTAATTAACTGTTATAAAAAAATGCGAATTTGTGTTATAATGTTAACGAGTACAACTCATT